ATTATCTTTGTTAAGTTTAAAACATCAAATAGATGTTTGAGTACAGACTATTAAAAAGAATGATATATTTCTAACAATCATTGCTTTTATAAGTTTAAATTATCTAAATTATATTTGTACTAGATTACAATCCAAATTAATGTTTTAAAAGACACTAAGGAAAGTAGTGTTTTTAAATTTATCCCTTCAGTTCTTAGGGAGGATTGTGCGCTATACACCCTATTGAATTACTCCTTTTTGGTTTTGTTTCCCTTTATTTTGCTCCTAGAGATCATGCCATCATAATGAGCTAGATCAATAAGTAGGAGATTGGAACTAAATGTTTAATTGACTTTATTGAAGACCCACTCTGAGTTTTTGAAAACTCTTATTAGAATTTATGGCTGCAAGTAAATACTAACCATAACCTTCTACCTTTCAAGGAAACACAAAGAAACAAAAGACAGGCCCTAAAAGCTGTGGTTCTTTTACATTGGTTCATTTGTTCGTTTGTTTTTAAAAACGTTATTGTGTTTTTGGTGAGGATTAACAGTTCAAATGGAAAATGTTCCATTAAGTATGTTCGATTAAATGCAATGTTTCCTAACATTAATTGCTATTCACACACTAGCATCTCGCTTCCTCTCTTGTTTCCCATTGCTGTCCCTTCCTGCCATCTGAATTTATCCTGGGCAATTTTATTATGCATACCTCCTTGTTATTTTTCGCTTGATATACCTGTCTATTGTGTGGCTGAAAGTTGAGCCACATAGGTGAGTTCAGTTCTAGGTGAAGGGTAACTAAGGGCTATAGATCCCAGAGTTCTACCAGTGCCCATCCCACCACTGATTACGAGTTTTATTCCACATTTTGTCCCACTCTATCCAGGAGCTTCAATTTTGATCCCTTTCAGAGTGGTTGGTGGAGGTAGCTATGTACCATCTAGCTCTCCTGGTCAGCGCCATGGGAGATGAGATTCTCTTGGTCCTCTAGGCATTTGGACTAATTGTTTCCATATGTCTTTGATTGTCTTCAGCTTTCTTTGCTAAAGATGATGGCAGGCTAATAGTTGTATGTTAGATAGGCAATCACAAGCTGAAGTCCCTAGTTGCTACTCACCAAAGTAGAGTGTAGAATATTTGTGGAATATATTGTGCCAGTTGACCTTACTGTCCCCAAAGACTATGCTTCGTAGCTCTTCCAGCCCAGGAGCTCTTCCTTCAAGGTGCTTAGTTATGGCTGAGGCGTTTCCTTAACTCTGCATCCCTGTGTGACTGTTGTGAGATGCCATCAAGTCTTTTCTGATGTATAGTGGCTCAGTGAAGCACAGAACCAACACTTCCAGGTCGTATACCATCCTCACAATTGTTATGGTTGAGCCCAGTGTCAACAGCCACTGTCTCAATCTATTTCTTTAAGGATGTTCCTCCTTCGGCTTTACCAAACATGATGGCCTTCTCTAGGGACTGCTCTTTCCTGATAACATGTCCAAAGGAGCCGAGACCAAGTCTCACTAGCCTCGCTTGTAAGAAGCATATCGGCTATACTTTTCTAAGCCAAATTCATTTGTTCTCCTGGAAGTCCACGATACTTTCAGTGTTCTCCGCCAACACCATACTTTAAATGCATCTACTCTTTTATGATGCATTCTCTAGTACATTCTTGGATTTATGTGTATCATATATAAATATACATATAAAAATATCCTCTCAAACATGTGCATTTACATATGATGTACATAGATCCATGTATACAAAGGGTTCAAAAATTCATGAGCCAATTCTACAATGTTTTCACAAATTTTTTGAAGTCCTCTGTATATTCATGAGTGTAGTCCCATTCACTGCCCTGCAACTGTTCAGCCTGTACGTCTGTCCATGCACCTACTTGTTGCTTATTGTTATTGCTGTTAGCTACAGGATTATGTATGTAGTCCTAGTTACTTTTGTTGCCTCTAACTCATGTTCTCCTCCCAGTGTGAATATTTCCCTTCGTTATTTTCTGCTGAACTGCCCCTTATTGTATATTGTCTGCCTTTCACCCAAGTTAATGTGTATACCTTGTAGATAGTGGTATCTTTTCTTCCCCTCCATCCTTAGAAACCATCAAACAGTGCTTCTTTCTGTGTGAAAATCCTTTCTTGACTTTTATAATAGTGGTCTCATACAATCTTGATCCTTGTTTGATAGACTAATTTCACTCAGTATAAGGTCTCCCGGGTTCACCGATGTCGTGAGGTATGTTATCATCATTCTGTAATGTTGCATAGGATTCCATTTTGTGTCACATGTTTACCCATTAATTTGTCGATGGGCACTTAAGTTGTTTCTGTCTTTCTGCTATGTGACTGGTGAACATGGTATGCATATATCTATTTGTGGAATTTAGTGGGATTGCTAGATCATGTGGTCTTTCTACCTCTTTTTAAGGAAGTAGTATATGCCTCGTTTTCCACTGTGGTTATACCATTGTACCATTTTACACTCCTATCAGTGTCAGATGAAGATTCTGGCTTGCACACGTTGGCCATCATCTTTTCTTTTCTGCTTTGTTTTTACCTTTACCATTATTGCTGGAGCAAGATCCTATCTCATTGCTTTGAACTGCAGCTTTCTAACGGCTAATCATGTTGAGCATTTCTTCATTTGTTGGTTGGCAGCCTAAATGTCTTAGTACGAAAGTGTCTTTTTTCTCTGCTCATTTTTTAATTGGATTGTTGATGGGTTTGTTGTTAAGGTGTTAAAGATTTATAAAAATTTTAGAGATTAGTCTTTTATCTGGTACCTTCTTGCCATTTTTTTTCTCAGTCTGTAGGTTCTTGCTTTACACTTTTTTTTAAGGCTTTTGCTGTTTAATTGTAAGAGGTCCCAGTCATCCAGTTTGCCCGCGGCTGTTCCTGAGCTCTCGGTTGTATTTGATAATATACTGATGTCGTGTAACAGGGCCCCACGTTTGCCCTTATTTCTCATATGGCAGCCTTATAGTTCTAGGTTTTACAGTTTAGTCTTTGATCCATCCCGGATTAATTTTTCATAGGGTGAGAGATCAGAATTTTCTGTTCATTAGTCAGCAAATGGATATCATTTAACCACCATCATTTGTTAAAGACTTACTTCTTCATTTAATGGGTTTTTTGTTTTGTTTTGCCTGTCAGGGAAGATCAACTATGTGAATTACTTCTGGGTTGCCATTGTCATGCTATTTTGACTACTGTGACTGGATAGTAGGTTTTGAAATTGGGAAGTGTGAAGTCTCGTATTTTTCTTTCATGTTACTTTGTTTAGTTGGGGTCTGTTTCCTTGCCATGTAAAATCAGTGACTAATTTTTCCATGCCTTTAAAGAATGATGATGGAGTCAGGATCAGGATTTCATTATATCTGCAGATTGGATTAAGTAGTATTGACATTTTCACAATGTTAAGTCTTCCTACCCATAAGCATGACATATTCTTCCATTTATGTAGGGGTTTTTTGGACTTCTGACTTTTTATCAAAAGATTGTTCTGTAGTTTTATTGATATGCTCTTCTCTGGTTAGTTGTATTCCTAAGTTATATGTATTGCATCTTTGGGGGGGGGGGACTTTTGTAAATGGCATATATATTTTTTACTTTCCTTTTCAGAGTTCTCTTTGTTAGTACAAAGGAAGTCAACTGATTTTTGCATGTTAATTGTATCCTCTTAATACTCTGAATCTTTTTTTTTTTACTCTGAATCTTTCTAATAAACATTTTCCTTTAGAAGAGTCTGTATAAGGCTAAACCCAGTGTGGTGAGGGTTAAAAATGTGCTTAATGTCCAACCTTTCTAAAATGTTTTATGACTTCATTATATGTGATAGTAGCCACTACTTTACCCCTCTGTATTCTCCCTCATGTCCCAGAGTTCTGCAATTTTCTGTTAACAGCTCACAGAACTCACAAATTAACAAGGAAACACGGTTGTAGAGGATAGAAAATCCCAAATCCATAGTTTAGATGCCCACCTTGATGATTCTCTGAATTTGCACCAAAGCAGACTTTAATTCAGCAGATGAATGAGGGGAGGCAAAAGACTGCTAGCTCAACTCCCAAGAACCCAAGGTCAGGCCGAGGCAAGCCAGACACAGGATCCAGAAGAACAGTGCAAACTTTGCCATAGTTGCTCACAGCAGCCATTGAGACCTGAAGCATACAAACCTGAAAGAAAGTCTTCCTTGCTGAACCAAGCAAAGGAGTGTGCTGAATCACACCACAAATGTGGCTCTTTAAGTCCTGAGTCAGCAAGAGTCTTTCGGGGGATAACTGGTATGTGACTGGTGACTCCGCACTTGGCTTCTGTGCATGATCAGTCTGGAAGTGGGGATACGGTGTGCTCAGCTGGCCCAGGAAGTGGTGGGGATGGGTTTCTAAGGAGGTGGGTGTGAGTGTGTGTACCTCCAACCACAGCGGTGGTAAGCACGTGGGACCTGTGTCCAAGGACGTGCCTGGGACCTCAGGTGCAGGACAGCATGGTGTCGCCGGCTGCCAGGTGGTGGTTTGTGGGCATGGCCACACTTTGGGGAGGGTATGGAGAGTAAAGGGGAGCTTACACCCTTCTGGTCCCTAGCCATCAGTGTAGGTGCTGCTGTACTCCCGGGTGAACGGAGCTGGCTATCTGGTTCCTGCCCCAACTGGAATTCTGCTTGCAGTAACACAAAATGCCCACTGACCATTCACCACTCTATCCCCTTGTTCTCTTCTAATTAGTATTTGATCTACTTCTTTATTCTCACCCATGACACTTGGGGTCCTAAGACTATGATCAAATAGTCAAATATAATTTTATTTGGTTTCTCAGGTCTTTTTTTTGCAGAGGGTCTGCATAGCATATCTGCTTGTTTGCCATCCTGTTAGAATTCCGGCTCTAAAGGTATTCTAGACTGAAAACTACCATCAAGTGTAATACCGTTAGTCTTAACAGTGATTAAATTCTAAGAAAAATGAGAACATAAATTTTTAAAACACAGAAGGACCCTATGTGATTAGACTGGTATTAATTTCAGGCCTTTGGAAAAGAATTTGATAAGCATTTTGGGAAAGGAGGTTCTAAGCTAACTACGATGAGGATCAGTGACTTCAACAGCATCATCTCCACGCTACTTAATCACATGAACCAAGCGTCGAAGCCGCCCGGGAATCTGCGTGAGTGCTCCCCCTGGATGAGCAACTTCAAAGTGGAGTTTTTGAGAAATGAGCTAGAGATTCCTGGTGAGTTCATGTTTGGAGTGAAAGAGTGACACTTTAAGGATAATAGTGCTGTCGTGATAACTTCTGGGTTCTTAAATAGTGCTATTGAGAACTCAGCAGTTCGTTTAGTTTACCGGGTGTGTGGTGTGAAAACAAGCCCACAGTTTCTGCCTGTGTAGTTCAGTGACATGGGTCATGTTCCTGAAGTTGTGCCACCAGGCTCACTGTCCCTTCCGACTGATTCCGTCACTAACATAAGCGAACCGCCCCAACACAGACCTTTTTCTAAAAACGAGCTTTACATTTCGCAATAACGCCCTCTGTTGGAGACAGATTGACGTCATGGTGGCAACAAGGGGCTCCAGCAGAAGGACTGTTGTGGGAGGGTGCAGGGCCTGGCAGTGTTTCGTTCTGTGGTGCATGAGGAGGCCATGGGCACGTAACAACAACATGTATGTAGTGATCTAAATGAATTATCTAGTTAGTTTTCTTATGAAAACAGTGTTAAGATTTCTCAATAATAATGGTAAATAAATAACAATGGTAACTAGAATTTCTAATTTCCTCTGCATACACACATGCTTTGCTCCTGAATGAATCTGTAGAAATATAACACAGGTGTCAATCCAGGTGTGTTCTGGCATGCAAAGGTTCATCCCAGATAAAGTGAGAAGGTAATGCTAACTGATGTTCCGGAGATAAGCGACAGATACGCTCAGGATGGAGATGTCCAGCATATTGCCGGGATGTAAGCATGGCATCAGTTTTTGTGAAGAGTCCATGTTTCTGAAACATTGGTTTGATGGAAAAAGTGTTTCAATATAGTTACTCCTGTCCTCTTCCCTGTGAATGTAATGAAAAAACATAATTGAGGTTATAATGTTCTATGTTGTTATTAATAGTTATGTAATTACATATTGTCAGTTGCAAGACAAAGATGTAAGCCTTCCAATGTGCAATTTCAGTTCACACTTGGGTCCAACAGTGCTGTTGCTCAGTACATTATTTTTCTTATCTGGAATTTCTCTAGTATTAGGAGAGAAAGCTAGCTTCCACTAACCAATGAAACTGATAAATAATTACATGAATATCTGCATAAGTCTATTTTCTTTATATGAAAACTTATATTGAAAAATGTTATTATCTAGGTCCCTTTTTCATTAGATGTGTTTTAACATACAGGAATTCGATAACAGGTTATATCTAAGATTCTTTGGTTTGTTCCAGGGCAGTATGATGGCAAAGGAAAGCCATTACCTGAATACCATGCACGCATCACTGGGTTTGATGAACGGGTAAGTGTGTATGTATTTGAAACCCCAATGATTGTAATTTTTCCATTTAGGATGATCAGTGTATAATGTTTAGTTCTTCAGATATGAAAGTGATGTAGAAAAGACAACTCCTTGTGTTGTTGTCAATTGTACAAAAGTTTTCTCTCATATACGGACAGTATTTCTATTATATACAGAATTTAATATTCCCCATTTTCAACGTCAGTCAATGTAAATATATAATTAGGTCCAAGATAAGATGTGTGTTCACATCCATTACAAAATACATGTAGAATTAAACTAACTATGTAGAAATTAAGCTCTCTGGGAGCAGAGTGGGTTATGCCCTGAGCTGGTAAGCACAAAGGCAGTGGTTCAAACCCATTAGCTGCTCCACGGGAGAAAGATAAGGCTGTAAAGATTTAGTCTCAGAATCCCAAAGGGGCAGTTCTGTTCTGCCCCTGCAGGGTTGCTATGAGTTAGAATGGTCTCCGTGGAAGTGAATTATTTGGTTTTCATGTAGAAAGTTAGTTATATTTGTCATTACTAAGAATACTCAGATTGATAAGCAATTATTTAAAATCATGAACATGAAATCTTGGGAGACATAGCAGTGGGGAATAAACAGGTAAAATTATTTCACTGGCCCCACAGTCTGCCTGCACTCCATTCTCTGGTCTTACCAAATAAAATAACTTCTCTTTTTCTGTCACTTATTCTGTCTGACAGAGCTAATCGCTCTCTGAAAAATACATGCTAATCGGCCTTACTTTCCCTCTCTTGATAATGAGATGTTGGGCTCTTCTCTCTTTTTAAGACTACACATAAACTATTTTCTAATTTTTAAAGGTCAAAGTAATGAGCTCGATCCGAAAACCTAAGCGCATCCTCATCAGAGGGCACGATGAGAAAGAGTACCCTTTCCTTGTGAAAGGGGGCGAAGATCTGCGGCAGGACCAGCGCATTGAGCAGCTCTTTGAAGTCATGAATGTCATTCTGTCCCGGGATGCTGCCTGCAGTCAGAGAAACATGCAGCTAAAGACTTACCAGGTTATACCCATGACCAGCAGGTAGGTGGTGATCCTAAAGTACATTTATACCTATGGGCATCCCAGCACCATGCGAAATCCTTGCTTGATTTTCCAGAGACGGGGTGGGAGGTCGCTCGACAATTAAGTACCTATGTTTAATTTTACAAAGGACGGGAATGAAATAGAATGGCATAATGCAAGCACTATACTTGTGACTTCTCTCTTGATGTGAGGAATTGACAGGAAGAAATCTTTTGCTTTTCTAAGGAACCTTTTTTCTAGAGAAGACAGGACATTTTGGATTTGTATTTATTCATAATCTTTTCCTTCTCCTTTTTAGATTAGGGTTAATTGAATGGATTGAAAATACTTTTACCTTGAAGGATCTTCTCTTGATTACTATGTCACAAGAGGAGAAAACGGCTTACTTGAGGTAATATGAAGTCTACCTGCTACACCTCCACCTGTGTCCAGTCTGCCTCTGCATGTGGCACTCCCCCTCACATTGATAGCAGTCTTTTTTCTTTTTTTTGAAATCACTTTATTAGGGGCTCATACAACTCTTATCACAACCCATACACACTTCAATTGTGTAAAGCGCATTTGTACATTCATTGCCCTCATCATTCTCAAAACATTTTCTCTCCACTTAAACCCCCGGCATTAGGTCCTCATTTTCCCCCTTCCTTCCCGCTCCCCCCTCCCTCATAAGCCCTTGATAGTTTATAAATTGTTATTTTGTCATATCTTGCCCTGTCCGACGTCTCCCTTCACCCACTTTTCTGTTGTCCGTCCCCCAGGGAGGAGGTCACATATAGTTCCTTGTAATCAGTTCCCTCATTCCTACCCACTCTCCCTCTACCCTCCCTGTTTCGCCTCTCACTCCACTCGTCCTGTAGAGCTCATCCGCCCTGGATTTTAAGTTCCTATCTGTACCAGTGGTCTAGCCAGACTTGCGAGGTCGAATTCGAGTCATGGTAGTGGGAGCTGGGAGGAAACATTTAGGAACTAGAGGAAAGTTGTATTTTTCATCGTTGTTACATCGCACCCTGACTGGCTCATCTTCTCCCTGAGACCCCTCTGCAAGGGGATCTCCATTGTCCTACTAATGGGCTTTGGGTCTCCACTCCGTACTTCCCCCATCATTCACTATGGTAAGATTTTTTGTTCTGATGATGCCTTATACCTGATCCATTCGACATCTCGTGGTTGCATAGGCTGGTGTGCTTCTTCTATGTGGGCTTTGTTGCTTCTGAGCTTGATGGCTGCTTGATTACCTTCAAGCTTTTAAGACCCCAGATGCTATACTTTTTGATAGCCGGGCACCATCAGCTTTCTTTGCCACATTTGCTTATGCACCCATTTGTCTTCAGTGATCCGTTCGACACCTCGTGATCACACAGGCTGATATGTTGTTCCATGTGGGCTTTGTTGCTTCTGAGCTAGATGGCGGCTTGTTTACCTTCAAGCTTTTAAGACCCCAGACGCTATATCTTTTGATAGCCGGCACTATCGGCTTTCTTCACCACGTTTGATAGCAGTCATTTAAGGTTCCTTCCAATCTATTCTGCCTTGGTGAGAAACTAAATGTAGTGGAGACTACTATAAAAAGTATTTACAGATAAAGATGTAATAAATAGTAGGTTCTTCTGAAATGATAAGAGTACTAAAATAGTGGGAACAATGGAGTTCACAGATTTGGGTTTAAAGAGAGGGAATTAAAAATCACTTTGAAATAAAACTTGCCTTTCTCTCTACTAGTTACTTATACATGACATGTAGCAAGTTATTACCCTGAATATCAGTTTTTGAATCCAGAAATGGGGATCACAGTACCCCTTAAAGGTGTGGAAAGTATTAAACATCTTTAAAGCACCGGACACAGCACTTGATATCGGATGGCTTGCCCTGAACACTTGTTAGCCATGACGGTATTGTGATGATGATAACTTATTGCCTTTGAAAGGAATATTTTTAATGAAAAACAAAAGCATTGCCACGAAGTCAATTCCGACTTATAGAGACCCTGTAGGACAGAGTGGAACTGTTCCTGTGGGTTTTTAAGACTGTAACTCTGGGAATAGCATGCCTCATGTTTCTCCTGAGGAGCAGCGGGTGCTTTCAAACTGCTGACCTTTCTTTTAGCAGTCCAGCTCATCACCACTATGCCACCAGAGCGCTTAGATTTTTAATGAAAGCATCTACATAATAGCCATTTATTGTGAGTACTATTATATTTAATAAGAGTCAACATAAACCTAATCCCCCAAATGTGAAGATTCATCAATCCCCACTTTTCTACTTCTCGTCATCTCTGACTCCCGCTGCCCAGGCGACATTCTCCTCTCTGCCCCTCACCATCCGGATCGAGGTCAGGACTCAACAAGCAGTAAAATCACACTTAGCCCACCCACCCTTACTTGTACCCTGCTGCTTAAAAATTTGGGAGGCCAGCAGTAAGCTCAGTGGTGCGACCTCCTCTGGTCTTCATGTTCACCTCTGGCTCCTACTACTATTTCGGGTTTGATAATTCATTGGAACTCCTCATAGAGCTCACAGAAAACAATTACAGTTACAGATTTATTTTGGCCAAAAGATACCCATCACCATCTTCATATGGAAGAGACAAGGGGCCAAGGTCTGTGAAGATTACCAGTGCAGAGCATTCATAGTCCAAAGAGGATGCATCATGCTCCCTTCACCAGCCTGGGGCTTCCCCATTCAGAGCCTTTATTGACGCTACCCCATAGTAATGTTTGAGGCCTGTTCGCATCTGCATGAGATGTTAAATCAGCATGGCTCCTGGGTTATTTGATACTGGAGATCTTCCTGGCCTGGCTCACCTGCCCACTACACAAATCTTAGATACGGTCTGAAGGTTTTAGATCCAAACCATACCTCAAGTACTAAAGAAACACCAAGGACTATCTCACAGGAACCAAAGACAAAGGCCAAATTGTTTTTCTTTCTTTCCTTTTTTTCAAATTGTTTTTCTTAACATGATTCATAACTGCAGAACAGGAAGCACAGTGGATTGCACATAGAAGAACTAGAGGCATAGAGGATACATGAGGGGACTTCAGGAAGGAGGTAGAAAAGATGGGACTTGTATTGCTAGCAGGGATTATAAATATGGGCTGCCAAAAAAAGAAAAGAAAAAAATAACTCATTGACATTGATCGGTTCTGACTCATAGTTACCCTACAGGACAGGGTAGAACTGCCCCTGTAGGTTCCTGAGACCATAACCCTCCACAGGTGTAGAAAGTCTCGTCTTTCTCCCTCCGGTGGCTGCTGAGCTTGTGGTTTGCAGCCCAACATGTAACCACTAGTTCCTCAGAGTGGTTAAAACAATGGAAAACATACAGCCATTAAACATAGTTGATGAAGAATTAGCATGTCCATAGAAATATGTTCAAAAATATGATGGATAATGTTAGTTTGAAAGCTATAACAAAAATATGGTTCCAAATTTTTTTTTTTAACATTTTATTAGGGGCTCATACAACTGTTATCCCAATCCATACACACATTGTTCCAAATATTTAAAAAAGAAAACAAAGTAATAGTTTTCAAAACATTTTAAAATAAATTTCCTTATTGCTGACAACACAGCAAAGCAGACACCAGTGAAATAGTTTGTGCATGTACAGTTCACTGACACGAAGTGCGTTCCTTAAGTTATATAATCATTCTCGTTTTCCATTTCTGAAGTGATCCTCCCTCATTAACATGAACCTATTGGCCCCCAAAGTTCCTATCTAATCTTTCAAATTACTGCCGTCAGTTCGAGCCCATATAGATAGATCTGGAAAGAGCACCATGTTCAAGGCAGATATCTTTACTAGTTAAACTAAACTGTTGTTTGGTTGTTAGAAGATTCAGGGGATATTTTTGGTTTAAGGCTTATAGATGGTCTCAAATCAATTGTTTCAAGTTAATAATTGTTTCTACTTTTTTTAAGTAAGAAAAGATTACTAAACTGTCTATTCATATGTAAATAGATAATAAGTCCAGAAATAGCACCAATTACATGTACATGTACATCATGATAAACATGTACTTGTACAACATGATAAACAAAGGAAAAATTGAAGTTCCAAGGCTTTTGTCTTACTTGGGTCCACAATCAGTGCCCATGGAAGCAGCAGTGAAAAGATCAAACAACACATTGCATTGTGTAAATATGCTGCATGTTTAAAGTGTTAAAAAGCAAGATTGTTACTTTGAGGACTTAGGTGCGTCTGACCCCAGCCATGGTATTCTTAATCTCTTCATATGCATATGAAAGTTGGACATTGAATAATGAAGACCAAAGAAGAATCAATGCATTTGAAAATCGATGCTTGGTAAAGACTTGAACGTAAAGGCTCAGATATTTGTATACCAGCAGTCCTTGCAGCCCTGTTCACAATAGCCAAAAGGTGGAAACAACAGTAATACCCATCAACCGATGTGAACGGGTGAGCAAACTGCCAAACCTAATTACAGTAGAATAGTAGTAAGAGAAATAAAGTCTTGGTATATGATTCAATATGGTTATAGCTTGAAGGTATCACAAATAGAACAGATATGACTTCACTTGTGTAAGTAGACAAGAAGAGAAAAATGTACACAAATCAAAGTTTATTAGTGGTGTCCAGAGGCAAAGGGTACTGGGGTAGGGAAAGAAGGAGGTTATTCCTCAGGGAATCCTGAGTTTTGTTTGAGGATCATGAAGAAACTCCTGGATTGAGGGTAGGGTTGCACGGCCAATTTATCTAATCCCTGTCAACAAGCTATAAACGTACAAAAAGTTAAACTGGGCCAAGTTATGTGATAGATATATTTACAACAATGACAGGGGCTAGAAAGAATAACTGCTGGGACTGCTTATGTTTAACCTGGCAGCTCATGGGATTTTGTGCCTTTGTCTGGGAGGTTTAGTGTCATGGTTTAACGGCAAATGATGGTACTTGGCCTAATAACATGCTTAGCATTTTTGTTCTATCTCATTTGTTGTAGTGGCTGGGGTCTTAAGAGCTTACAAGCAGCAATTCAAGTTATCACAAGTCATTTCTGTTTGCCTGAAGCAACAAAAGGAGGAGAGTTAGAAATAGAAGGAAGAAATGGAATGTGTGGCCACACGTGCCTCCATGAACAACTGCCTCCTGGTGGCTAAACATTCGACTGTGATTCTGAATGTCAGCAGTTCAAAACCACCAGCTACTCCATGGTAGAAAGACAGAGCTTTCTACTCCCATAAAAATTTACAGTTTCGGACACTCACAGGGGCAGTTCTTATCTGCCCTATAGGGTAGCTGTGAGTTGGTTCAAGTCGATGGCAGTTAGTTTGGCTTAGTTTCCTATGCTGTAAGACCAGAACTAGATGGTGCCAATATTACTGAATATTTTTTAATCAAGATTTTATAAAAGAATCTTGGTCAAAAGGGGG